ATTCTTTAAACTCTGAGCCTTTGATAAGGTTGATCATTATTTACTTGACATTCTCCCCAGCTCTTGGCTCCTGTGAAATTATTTTTGCCTCATTTTCATCTGAACTCTCTGACCCATTTTCCATTAGTCTCGTTTGTTTTTCCTCATGCCGCCTCTTATGTATTGACACTTCCTAGGTCTCATCCTCTGCAGTCTTTTCACTCTTCATGTGCTGACCGAGTGACTTCATCCAACCCATCGTCCAACCAACATCAAATAACCGTCTTCAACTCAGATTGAATCCAAGAGATCCAGATACACCTATCGAACTGTCTACTTTGTACCTCCACTTAGATGTCTGTTACACGCCTTATAATCAATATATCTCCATGACACTCTCAGCTTAACCACTGAAATATGCCCCTTCTCCTATCCCTTGCACAGTTGGAGCTACCACTATCTATTCATTTTCCTAAGCCTTAAAACTTTGAAAACCACTCTCCTTTCCAACACTTCCGCACAAACAACCAATCAATCACAAAGCAAGATTACCTGCTTAATATTCTTGCAAATATGTGGTTCACTCGCTTTTCAATGCTTCTACTTTGGATCACATTTTAATCATTCTAAAGCATATACCTGTAAGATTCAATTAACTGTTCTTTCTTCCCGTTTTGTCCCTTTCCAATTGATTCTCTCTCTTGAAACTAGACTGCTCATTATAAAATGTGAACTTGATCATGTTGGTATTATGTGTACATCATTGAGGGCCCTTTTTCATTCAGTAGGGCTTCCTCATAAAGACGGCAAGATCCTGTGTGCATCGGGATAGCGCTGCCTTCACTCATCGCTTCTTTCCTTCAAGCTCAACGTTACAGCCAATGTAAACCATGTTCATTGGCTCAACCACACCTGGCTCTGCCACATCTTGGTGTCTTCTTCTCTGTTGTTCCTTTGCCTTACCAATTAAATTAAAGCCTTAACAATCAAACGTGGTGAAGAGAGCTGATGGTGCCCAGCTATCAAAAGATATAGCATCTGGGGTCTTAAAGGCTTAAAGATAAACAAGTGGCCATCTAGTTCAGAAGCAACAAAGCCCACATGGAAGAAGAACACCAGGCTGTGTGATCGATCACTAGGTGTTAATGGGATCAGGTATCAGGCATCTAAGGCCCAGAATAAAACCATACCCAAGTTGAATGGGGGGGTGGTGGTGGGGGTGGCACCTGGAGTGGAGACCCAATGCCCATCTGTAGACAATTGGACATCCTATCACAGAGGGGTCACAGGGAAGGACCGATGAAACACACACTTTTCCTCTAGTTGTTTGGTGTGTCCTTCACCCTATGATAATAACCTCAATTCTACCTTACGAATTGGATTAGACCAGAGCATGCACACTGCTACAGATAAGAGCCTGAAACACAGGGAATCCTGGATAGAGAAACCCCTCAAGGCCAATAAGGAGAGTAGAGATACCAGGAGGATTAGGGGAGGGTGTGGGGAGAAAGGGGGAATTGATCACAAGGATCAATCTAGAACCCCCTCCCAGGGGGACAAACAATGGAAAAGTGGGTGAGAGGCGGCAGAAGACTATGGAAGATATGGAAAAAATAATCTATAACTTATGAAGGGTTTGTGAGGGAAGGTGGGCAGGGGAGGGAGGGAGAAGAAATGGGGAGCTGATATCAGGGGTTCAAGTGGGAAGAGAATGCTATGAAAATGATGATGGCGGCATATGTGCAAATGTGCTTGACACACTGGATGAATTTATGGATTGTGATAAGAGATGTAAGAGCCCTCAATAAAAGTATTTTTTTAAAACTCTCGATTCATTAACTATTTTCAAAAAATATAGGAAGACACTACTTCTTCTAGTTACTCCAAATATTTTCCAAGAATATATCCATTTATATAGCATTTGTTTGAAAGGAGAGCTATTTTGGTTTAATCTGAAAGACAATTGTATGCTATTTTAATAAAATAAAATTTCTCATATTTATATAAATATTGCTAAAAGGGAAAGAAGACAGTTAAAAATCTTAGTTTTCCTTAGTAACATGGAAGTTAGACTGTGCAATAAGTTTATGTTCAGAAGCCAGGTTCAGAAGTAAACAGTGTATCAACTTTATACATAGAAGGGCTTAGATTGCCAAAGTAGTCTCAGAGCACTAGGTTAATTCTTAGGGAGATCTGGCATTAAATCAGTCCCACAACATAAGCAAACCTCTTTATTCTTTAACCTATCATTCTTGTCTTTGAGGATACAATCCATACCGTAATTTAAGATATCCTGCGAAAGGGACCTGACACACAGTCTAGCCCTGCAGTTTTACCAGAAACCATGACAGGCAAATTACAATGAAAGAAACTTAATCAGCCACATGTTATACCTTTCAGCTTAATCTAATAAGAAAAAAAATACCATAAATCCATTCTATCACTCTGCAAAATGAATTCCATCCTAATTCTCCAGAATATACAGTTTCAAGATCTATTTTTACCCTTTTTTTTACCCAGAGGCATAGAGGTTGCCTTCTACCCTCCTGCTTACCTGCTTACGTCTCACCTTTATTTAGGCTGGAAAGTCACGTGTGGTCAGTAAATTCAACAAACACCAATCACCTGACCAAAGCTCTCTGGCTCTGAAAATTGATTGCTTCCAGATTTTTGCTTAGATTTTTTTTTAAAGGACATTCAGCATACCCACTTGTCCAACAACAAACTAATTCTCTTTTCTTCAGCATAAAACATTTTACATATACAAATAACATTTAAAAATACCTAAAGTTACCTACATCAGATCGATGATGTACGATCATGAAAAAATAGTAGGTAACTTACATTGTGTCATACTCGAATTTAAAAAATTATTTAAGCTTCACAAAATGTTCATTTTCTCAATCCTAATATGTAAAAGATGAGCATGCTAGAGATGTGTACACTTCAATCTTTCTATTTTTATTCTGTATCAAGATCCTTATCAGTTCATGCTGTTTACAGGCACCCTACCACCAACACTTGATTTTATACCCTACTTTCATCCCGCCAAGAAAACAACACCAGCCAGAGGTATCCCAAACTGGGCTAACAAATGATATGGAGGATGAAAGCATTAGCACTTTATAGTGTAATATCTACCAGGTAGTGAATAAACGCACCAACTTTAGAATACACAAGAACTTAAATGTAAACTAAATAAAATAAAGACAGAAACACATTTCTATCATATTTAAGAAAATCTTTCAAAATTTACTGCAAGTGATAGTTCATATTATAAAGTAATTTACTGTTGACAAAATCCATCCCCATATATATTAGATCATGGGTTATTTTTAAAGTTAACAGTTTCTGTTGACAGAATGCTAGGAGGTTCCTGAAAAAAAAAAAACTATTAAAAAAACCCAATATTCATGTATTAAAGGGAATACTTTATAATATTTGAAAGGTTGTTACCCATTTTAAAACATAGAACACAAAAGTAAAAAAAATATTGGTTTTGCAAAACTTACTACCCACAGATCTCTCTCTAACTTGTATGTATTTCTGTTTAGTATCTCTCTCCTACTTTATTGCATTGCAGATTACATAACTAACCACAACAAATCATTTGATTAGTACTCATAGAAACTATTGTGTTCCTGCAAAATGGCATGATTTTATCATTTCAAAAAATATCAAATGCTTTAAACTCCTTATTAAACCAAGTTCAAGGATAAAATCCTATAAGAGAAACCAAATCTGAAAGGAAGTTTTCATGTCATCATTTTAATGAACTAATAACAAATATTAATTTAAGAAAAGAAACAATAACAACACCCACTGCTGTTCAGTGGATTCCAACTCATATTACTGTGAGTATAACATTGCTCAAAATAATTGAATTCATTAGACACCCTTCAAACACCAAACTCCATGTTTCTGGTTTCCACTTTTTCCTCTTTAGTACACTGTCTTTGGCAAAGAAAAAAGAAAAGAAAATTAAACTATACCTAATTGGACATAAAACAAATGTTCTACCATTCAGATTGAACATTTTACTACTGCTAATGAAAATATGCCACATTTTATAAAGAAAGGACTCCTAAGTGTCTTACATAATCTATTGCCATTATCTCAATATATACATTTTGAGCAGTGGTACATTAGCAAGCAAAACTAAGGAGATAGCTTACATTTCCTTCTAGAGTACAAATGCAATACAAATGTTCTATTGACTGGTCATGCTTCAGATTGTGCTAAATTAATGTATATTTGTACATCAGGTTGCACAATTTCTAAGAGGAAGCACTACACAAGTGTTTCTTTAAAGCACTGGGTGAGGTCACACATTTAGTTCCATTGTGTGGGATAATAGATCCATCTGGCTGGTTTGTGTATTCAGGTGGATCAGAGACTAACCTGATTTGGCACCAAGGTAAAGATTCATGGAGTTCTATCCATAGGGTAGATGCATTACGTGATAGGAAGAGACATTTACAACCCAGAATATAAGAGCAGGGCCGCCTCAAGTGACATCACCAGATCATCTACAGCGCCAACCAACCGACTCAGATACATAGCCCGCACCCCACCGCTCCGCCCTGCTTTCTCACTTTTAGCAAGCCCTCTGTGCCCTTCGACAGTGCAAAAGAGCATGTGTCTCCTTTGAAAGCAAGACACGCATTTACTCAAATGAAAAACAGTAAGAGAAACCAAGGGTATTGCAGAAAGGGAGGTTAAAAATAACTCCACCGAGGAATATTTTCATTCACTTAATATTTAGATAGTAGAATGACAATGGACTATTAAAGGAGAGAGAAACTTGAATTATCTATATAATAAAACGGAAAGAGCCACCTGGTTATGCCCTTAGTCTAAACCTTGTTTTTGAACTCTCATCTGTTCCTGCATCAGGCATCAGTGGGGAATCTTGGATTTCTTTCCTTAAAAATTTAAACACCAATCATAACGAAGTGAACTCTGATTGTCTCGTCTTAATTCTCTTCCAATGTATGCATAACTTACTCTGTTTTACTTACAGGCATTTGTTACGGCAAAACTGTTGGCTGTCTCAATGTTGTCCACATGAGGTACCAAATTGAAAGGAGCTTCCGACGCATTGGGGCTGGTGTTATGAAGAAAAATCGCTAATCGAAAAGCAGTATATTCCTGATCTGTGTTTCGGATGAAGAGACCACCTATTAAAAACAGCAGGAAAAGCACGTTCAGTGTTCCCTCTGTTACACGTTACACCCAAACCCAGGGCTGTTCACAAAGCACACGCACATCTGGGGAGACCGTTCTTTGTCCCGAAGGTACATGCTTAGTATTTTGGTCTTTAAGACAGCTCAGCTCTTTCCTGTCCCAATTTGTCATGTTCACAATGACCTCTGAGACCACGGAGTGTGTTCTTTCTCTCTCCTGCCCTCCCCATGATTCCCAGCACCGCGCGACAGCAGCCAGCATGTCTCTAGAACAGGCATGCAGATGCCAGAAGAGGATTTGCATGAAAATACAGAAATGAAGAGGTGTGGTGACTGGCCGCTAAGAGAGAGCTCAGTAAAGAGAAATGAACTTTGTTTCCCTGCCGCTCACGGACTCAGCCTAATTAGCTCCGTTTTGTGCACTGTCCACGAGGAAGGATGCGGCGTTGAAGCCAGGCTTGGCTGGACGGAATCCAGGAGCTGCGTCCCATTGAAAGACAGGAGCGCAGAGCAAGAAAAGCCAAGGATGGAGAGGTCCCCGAGCAGCAGAGTCCAGATGGAAGACTGGGGAAAACCCTCAGGAGGAAGCCCAAGATAGAGCAGAGAAGGTTTCGGGAAAGGAAATGTAACTTTGGAATCACTTAACCCATAGCAAAAAG